GCTTGCGTTTTAGCGGCATTAATCTGTAAAAATTTCATCTCGATAGAACGCTCAGATCAGAGTTAATTATATACTGTGAGACTGTTGGTGAGACATCAGAGGCGTAATGAGTAGTGTCGTCTGCGTATAGCCTCAAGGACGTATTAGTTATAAAATAATTAAGATCATTAACATACAAATTAAATAAGAGTGGACTCAACAGGGATTCCTGTGGTACACCAGTTTTAACGGTTCTCCACGAAGAATATACACCATCAAGTTTGACCCTCTGTCTCCGTCCAAAAAGGTATGCGGTCATAATTTCCAGCGCATCACGCGTAAAACCATATGCCTTTAATTTAGCTAGGAGAAGCGGGTGACAAACAGAATCAAAAGCTTTACTTAAGTCGATAGCCACCGCTGCAACAGCTTCTCTTCTGTCAAGAGAGGCTCTCCAATCTTCGGTCAATTTCAATAAGGCCGTGCAACACAAGCGACCCTTGAGAAAGCCAGACAGATTCGGTGAGAGCCGCCAATAAAAGGCTTCATAGATTGGATCGAACAATACCTCATATAATTTCGATAAGGAAGTCAGAACAGAAACTGGACGATAGCAAGTCTCATCCGTCATACTTTCCTTCTTGAAAACAGGAACAACGTCACTGCTATTCCAAACTATTGGCCATTGACGATTGGTAATAAAATAATTGATTAAACGGGTACCGGCTCTGCAATAACAGGTGAGGATAAACGAAGTAGCCTCTGAGATATTTTATCGCAACCAACAGCCTTGCGAGGGTCAAGAGTATCCAAAATTTTCCTTATGTAGCCAACATCAACTGGGACGAGGTCAAAAACATCATCACAAGTTTTCTCAGCAATGAGAATAACACTAGGATGATCAACAAACTCAACCATTTCCTTACTGTCACCATCGCTCCTGGACGCCTCGCAAAAGTAGTTGTTGAACATTTCAGCCACCATTAATGAATCAGTAGTTACACGCTCATTCTCAATCAGAATTATCTTTGATTGCTTGTTTTCTTTGCTTGGAAACAAGGGTCTCAACTTATTCCAGAACTCACCATGATGTTTAGTGTTTGACGATGCCTCCATGCAGAACGCCTTCAACCCTTTTCGTTTCAGGGATGTGACCTTGTTCCTCTGTTCCTTGAATTCCTCCCAAGAGGTTGTTGTTGAGCTCCTTGCATGTTTCTTAAACAGTCGATTACGACGCGAGATTTCGCGTTGAATTAATGGAGTTATCCATGGCAACTGATCACCGCTGACCAAATTTTTCTTTATTGGTGCGTGTTTGTCCAACACTTCAGTGTACAATTGCGCCCAAGGTGCCATAAATCATCAACGTCGTCTTAAATGTAAGCAGAAATCCAGGGAACAGTTTTTAAGTCATTTAAAAATTTGTCTATATCAAATTGTCGCATAATTCTGTATTCAATTTCACGTGCCTTAGCCCTTGGTAATTTATTTTTTTGCACTGCATAGATAAGATCGTGATCACTGAGACCCATATGCAAATTACCACAAGTTGCAAATCGTTCCGGATGGCTAGCGAGAATGACATCGAGTAAAGACTTTGTTTTTTCAGTCACCCTTGTCGGTTCACTAATTTGGTTTTGCAAACAAAACCTATCACAAAGGTCCATGAGTGAGTTATCCTCAGCATCAACACCATGCTCCCCAACAAGCAAGTCGATATTAAAATCACCAATCAATAATATTTCCTGACGGCTTGTATACATAAGTTCAATAGCTGATGTAAGCGACGACAAGAAATCAGTAATTTTACAGAATTTAGGTGATATGTAGCACGCACACACTATAAAGCGAGCCTTTTTAGAATCCATGACATCAAGACATAATGATTCGACTGATTCGGGCTCCAGATTACGTCGTAGACAGACAGGAAGATCTTCCCGTACAAAAGCTATCAAGCCACCAGTTCCTCTCTTGCGATCACGTAGAATAGTGCGATATCCCAGTTGTTGGAGAAAACTATCTGAGGTTGTACCATCGAGTTTTGTCTCCGAAATAAAGAAAATGTCAAATAAGTACTTGTTAAGAATATTTTTGACCTCGTCAAGCTTATTTTGTAAAGGGTTGATGTTCAAATGACCTATTTTCAGATTGAATTTGTAGTAACCATTGACGTTCCTAAAAAAACAGTCAACAGAGTCTCCTGAATGTTCCTCCGCAATCTCAAAAACCTCGCCAGTGGAGCTCGAATCTCATGCCGCCGAAAGAGAGAGATCATCAAAGAAGCTGTCACAAAACTAAGGCTTCGTACAAGAAAAGCAATACCAGATCCCTTCTCTCCGATAGCAAGACAGCTCGTTCTTGCTCATTTTCGTACGTTTGATGTGGAATACTGCCGGGCAGGACGAGCAGCGGACGCCATTTTGGTTCTTTCTCATGGTTTTAGCACAATACCTACAAAGCGTTTTAGAAGAACTATTAAAACTTCCTTGAGGCCCCTGAGGGCCGGGATTAGACTCCACGTTTCCACATAGCTTCAACAGTAATAGCTGAGTCGTAGCAGTACTGTTACTCTAGTACAAAGCACGCCGTCCGAGGTGGGCTTTCTTGCTCCTTCGCATGTAATTTTGACGATGCAGACATGAGCTCAAAGAACCAAAGAACTGAAGCTGGGTAGAAACATTACCCATGTCCTTAGGTCCAGCACATAAATAATTGGTGGGAGATAAGTATGCGAGACCAGAACCGAATCCTCCAAGAGTGAAAAGAGCGAAAAGTGGCAGCGCATACCAACATGTGTAAGTCGCCATCTAGCCATCACTCGGTCTTCTCGCTACATCAATCTTACATCAATCGTAAATCTTGCTCTGTCTGATCATAGTTAGCTAGAGACTTGATGGCGTTGTGAATATGAGTTTGGAATCGCTGTTCGCTCTTTTCGAACTTTCTTTCTAAAGCTGACTCTAGGGACTCTATGGTGTCTTTGAAGAAGATCAAATTTTGCTCTGTGGTAGTGGAGTTACTGTTCCAAATATACACGACTCCTATGAACCCAAACCATTCGCTTTGAACAGTTTTTTTTTTTTTCAGAAATCTAGTTAACAGTCCAAATCTGTGATTATTGGTACCTTGGTTTCCGACCACTGTTTCCCGTGTGTCAGTCATTATTAGTGACAAGTGTGTTGGCGATTACGGTGACAAGAAGATAGTCCGTTATGTCCGCATGGATCACACGTTTCAGTTGCTACAACTTTCCACCCTTAAGCATTCGTTGTGCAATGAGTTGCGAGACCAACCTCGGTCACACAAAATGAATCCTATTTATTTCCCACGAAAAAGAATTCTAAATTGTTTCATCGGATGTGCGACCTAAGAGCACTTTAACTCAAACCTGGTCCTTTTTTCTAAATATTCATTTTTATTAGTTTTCGGGGGCAGCAAGTGAGCGTGAGTACTTCGTTTCGTGGGAACATACCGACCCATAGGAAGTCCGACATGCTTGTTAGTGCAGTTGTCTTTTTATAATTACTTGCAGTGCAAAACTATTATGATCCTGCATGGGTAACGCTATCTCATCGCATTCGTGACTGTGTGTCTTGCATGCTAGATTGTCAATACTATGTACCAGCGGCGGTCGTGGGCGCGTGTGCAACGATGGAAATATTTTGCTGCGTTGTAGGCTGCTTTATCCCTCAGACAGAGAAACTAATGGATAATTTAATAAAATTCCAGCCATAAGTCAACATCAAGGGGCACTCACAAAACAAAATTCTAAAGGAAAGTGCGATCGATGGATCGTAATCTTCAAGAAAGACGCGGTAAACGCAGGCGACATCAAGTATCCGCATGTGTTTTCTATTCACTCTCATTTAGAGTAAAAGCTAAATGATAAACGAGTTTCGATTGCTTTTCTGACTTATAAGTTATGGGAAGACAGACGCATAAATGAGGTCGCTATCAGAAACATTTTGCCGTGGAAGGCTGAGAATGATTCGTGCCTTACACTAGTCAAAAGTGTAGATAGAGGACTAGAGTTCCAAGTAATACCGCTGTTTTGAATAGCTATATAAAACCCCAAAAGTGGATTCTAATTTTAAGAAAAACTTAGCTGTTGTCCTTACTAAAAGTCGCAGGGGGGCTTGTCGGTTGTCACTGTTTATTCGTATTTGAAAATCACGTCACTTGTATCATGAGGGAAGGAGGAGAGGAGAGACATCAGCTGATCACTGTTATGGTTCATGGTTCATTTATTTTACACTATTTACATGAAATTAATATAGATAGAAAAGTACAATTGCAACAAATGATTACAGAATAAAATAAATAAAGTACAGATTATAAAAATGTGTGTGGTGGTCAAAGTAGCGATGGCTTTCTAGTTGGCCACTACCTACTTTTAGATAAAGAAAGAAATGGGACTGAGCTTTATTGGTATATAGTAAAAAATGTGGAAGGTGTTTGTAGAGCGTAGGATTGATGTGCAAGAGAGAATTACGTGTATATAATTCAAGGTATGTTAGAGATTACTGAACCAAGCAAGAAGTCTATACAGGACAACCTTAATAAGAAAAATAATTTGGATATATCAACAAAGTTGAAATGGTAAATTGGCCACCGTAACGATTACAAAAGCTGACGTTTCGAGCATTAGCCCTTCGTCGGAGCGAAGGTTGTGTGTTGTTGTGCGCCAATGTAATCTATTGTATAACTTGCACTCATTGCAAAAAGATATACATCGGCGAAACAGGCAGAAGACTGGGTGACGGGTTCCAAGAACACCTTCGAGACGTGGAAAGGAATGACAAGGACACATCGAAACCAGTCGCTAGACATTTTAATTTAACTAATCATTTTAAGCAGCATATAGTAATCTACGATCTTTCCTTACACTTAGGTAGCACGGAAAGCCGTAAAACTCTTGGACAAAAGCTCATCTTTCAAACCGGCAGTCTAAATCCCACAGGGATCAACGAACGCTTTTCATTCCACTAATTTATTCGTATTTTTCTCTTTGCCATGTTCCCACCAATAACGTAGCTCCATTTCCTGTTAGAGGTATTAAAAAATTATGGAAATTGCTGGAACAGTTGTTGGATTGTTATATGATTTAAATGTGAGTGAGCAGATTTTGAATCTGACAACATTTTCAAATTTTCAAATTTCAAGGATTTGGTATTCAGGGAAAGAGGGTTCCCGTTTTTGTAAGAAAGATACTTCGGATGCATTTATTTTGTTTAGTACTGATTTTATTTAAATTACTCTGATAAGTGTTGCCCCAACACACATTGCACCAAAATTAAGATAAGGATAAATAGGTGCATAGTACAGTTGTCTTAGCATCTTTAAATTGAGGTAATTCCGCAGTTGGTAGAAGATTCCAACTTGAAAGTTTTTAGTCAGTTTGCTTTGTACATGTGCTATTTGAGTTTTCCAATTCAAATGCTCATCTAAATAAATGCCTAAATACTTGACAATTAGCTTTGCGATCAATGTTTGAAATATTAATATTGTGTATAGTTGGCTTCTGTGGAGATGTTAATATCATAAAATTTGTTTTCTTCAGGTCAATAGACAGTTTATTGAGTTACGTTGCAGTAGTTAATTACTTTCTGAAGTTCTGTTAGGACTGACTAATCAAGCCAAGTCAGCTTGAAATACCTTTAGAATTTAATTTCTTTCAGTAAACTAGCATATATGCTCTAACACTCCACTGGTCTGATTTTCATCTCAGCCTTCTTCAAGGAACTGTAGTTTCTTTTCCAGGTATACCAGCTAACTCCAGAAGTTTCGGCCCTCCTCTGACGATAGACACCGTTCAGGTTTGAGAAAAAACAGTCCTCATGATACCACCACCCTCCTTGAAATAACTCAGCACAGTTACCTTCATTGCTGTCATTGTCTTGATCCTTAGTTGAAAAGGAATAGCCATGATGCCCTATGAGGGAGTCGCCAGCAGTTCCTAGAATAAAGTAACGCGAGACATTCAGAAAGACTTTATGCCTGTTATGCAATCCAACCTTACCGAAGAAGCAATGACACAAAATTCCCATTACCCTCCGTCGAGAACACTGAGGTACAGTTTTGAAAATTAATACTATTTCTGAGTCATCATAGGTAATGCCCATGATAGTTCGCCCACTTTGATCAACTGCTTTTAATTTTACACTACAGATGTAGTGTATTGCGTTACATAGCGTCACATAGCGTAACAACTGTAAGGAACTCGATCGTCTCATAAATCTACCCTCCTCGGTAAAAGTAAAAGTAATTACGTATATTGTATAGTTAATATACTATTATTGACTGAAATCAAGTTGAATTAAAGGAACGAGGCTAATCACTTGACCCATGAATACTCTACAACAAATGTACAAATGATTAAAAAACTTATGAGTCGTTCTCAAAAACTCTATACCCTCAACCAAATAGAACTGTAAATTTGATATAAAAGAATTACTTTTATTTGCTTCAAAAAATTTACCTGAATATTTCGAAACACTCAACCGGTACTTCTTGCTTTCGTCCGCCACTGCAAACATGTCGTACACGGTATAAGCAGTTTTGCTGTGAAAATCTTCCAGATCGACCCGAAGCTTGGTCGTGGATTTTGTCAGGCGGTGTATCTTGTCCAACCCGAGCCAAAATTCGCCCTTGAGATTTCCAAAGCCATTCTTGTAGTCAGACCAGCTGAGATCGAAAATAACAGAGCCATCAAGTCTCTTTTGGACCACTGTCCATCCTCCTCCATCAGTTGTTTGGTCACAAAACACTGCAAAGTCAGGTCCAGCATGATCTGGGTTGATCATATAAACACCACTGGTTATTTTACCATATTTGTACAGCTGGGCACAGTTTTTAGGCACTGATAGACAAAATTTTAATAAAATAAATCTAAAGATGATAAAATTTAAAAAATAAGATAATAATAATAGCTATAATTATAATATTAATGATGATGATGATGATGATAAATTATAATAAACATTGAAGGTTAACTCTCCCAGACGAAAGTTCCGTGTTAAATGTTAGTTGTCTTGGGTCCCGTGTGCCCTCTGGATATGGTTTCATTGGCCCAGGGGAAAGGGGAAAAGCACTATCACTTGAGAGGTGGGGACTTATTTCATCGCCATTAACCTTTACGGTTGACTTGCCTAGGATGCCTCCCTGTTCTGCTCTTTGAAACATAGTGCTACACCTCAATACGCGAGTGTTTTACATGCTTCCAGGAAATCCACATGTAAAGTCCATGAAAATAATTTAGCTATCTACAGGAGCCTGGATTATATTGTCTCGGTATTGAATGAAATAATCCGGTGCTCGCTGTTGTTGGGTGCTTTTATTCTCACCTATGAGCCGTCGATAGCATCCATGATGTTTTTAAATTGGTATGGACAGCAAACATCACAATCGATGACTTTACCTCATCAAAGGTCTCTGGAAATTTTACGAGTCCATTACGAGGTTCACAGAGGCCAAAATTTTAATAAACGTCTTGTGCCGGCCTAGATTACGGAAGAATTTTGCACATAGAACCACCGGTGCAATCCTTGAATGAAGATTTCCGCGCGCTAAACGGTACAGTCACAAGGCAAGAACTTTTTACTGGTGGTGAGCAATTCCTAAATCGTGAGTTTCGTCTTTTAATCTCGAGCCCAATATATTGCAGGATATTGTTTCAAAAGTGTTTTTGTTTTCGTTTCCTTAATTGCTGTCGAAAGTATTATTTAAACAATAGAGTGTTTCTGTCGAGGAACTATCGGCTGATAGTTGCCCCGCGAAAATTTTATGTTTTTAAAACAAATATTTGCCCGAGAAGCGAAGCTTCGAGTGCAAATCATCCTCGGAGACCCAGGGGTTGTGAGTCGATTTCAAGTTAAGGGCAGAAGAGCCCCTGGGAACATTGTCTTACAAGACTAGTTCCAAAGGGTCGCATTCGTTCTGGCATCTGATTGGTGCCAGAAAATCTTTGTGTTTTTCTGCCCAATCAGAGTGAAGTGTCCTTTCGTGTGTTTTAACACGCACATATTCAACAAGCTCTGTCGCTCGCTATGTTTGTTTGGGCCGTGCGACGAAGCTTCGCCCGAGGTGAAAAGTTTCGGTCTCAGCACACAATGTAAGAGAAATCTATCAGATTGTCCGCGAAATCTTACCGTAAATTATACCGAATACTTTCGCAGGTATCACAAGAGAACGTGTTTAAAAGTTTGCGAGGTTCGTATAAAACATAATGGTTGCAGGCATTGATATCTCGCTTTAAACCTTAGATGAGATGTAAGCCTAAATCTTTCAAGATTTTTTGTATAATTTGCTGTAACTGAAACTTTTCCAATCCCGTGAAGCTATTTCGTCGCACGGGCCACGCAGGTATGTCGAGCAACTGGCGCTTACGCAACTTTTTGTGCACGCCCGGCCAAAATCTAATCTTTGTAGTAAAGTCTTTACAATATGGCCAAAGTTGCAGAGAACGTTAAGTACGTGGATGACCTCCAGCAAGCGCTTAAAGAAAGCTTAGCTGTGTTTCCGGTTAGCTAATTAAAATCTGAACAAAGACTAATCCTAGAGAACATCGTGGAAAGGAGGTATGTTTTCAGACAGTTACCGAAGGTGTTTGGAGACAGTTTAATCTTTCAACTGCTGCGTTGAGTGTTCAAATTCTTGAGCTCGAAAGGCCACGGATTCTCTTCTAGTCCTTTGGTCATTATCATTTCACCTCTTTTGTCGATTGTTCAAGAATCGATGCTGCTTTCATTGAGGAAAACAAAACCAAAGACCAAGAAATATTGGATGGAAAGGGCGGGCTTGCTTTATTGTAAATGTCAGCTTAGTACAGGATTATCTACCCACATCTAATAAACAAAAGTTTCCACGTTTAGCTTTTCTTTTTTTTCCAGCGAAGATTAGTTTAGATTTTGGCCGGGCGTGCACAAAAAGTTGCGTAAGCGCCAGTTGCTCGACATACCTGCGTGGCCCGTGCGACGAAATAGCTTCACGGATTGGAAAAGTTTCAGTTACAGCAAATTATACAAAACATCTTGAAAGATTTAGGCCTACATCTCATCTAAGGTTTAAAGCGACATATCAATGCTTGCAACCATTATGTTTTATACGAACCTCGCAAACTTTTAAACTCGTTCTCTTGTGATACCTGCGATAGTGTTCAGTATAATTTCTGGTAAGATTTCGCCGACAATCTGATCGATTTCTCTTACATTGTGTGCTGAGACTAAAACTTTTTACCTCGGGCAAAGCTTCGTCGCACGGCCCAAACAAACATAGCGAGCAGCAGAGCTTGTTGAATATGTGCGTGTTAAAACACACGAAAGGACTCCAAAGGACACTTCACTCTGATTGGGCAGAAAAACAAAAAGATTTTCTGGCTCCAATCAGATGCCAGAACGACTGCGACCGTTTGGAACTAGTCTTGTAAGACAATGTCCTCAGGGGTTCTTCTGCCCTTAACTTGAAATCGACTCAAAGCCCCTGGGTCTCCGAGGATGAGGGCAAATATGCTAGTTTTAAGAACATCAAATTTCCAAGGGGCAACTATCAGACCGATAGTTCCGAGACATAAACACTCTATTGTTTTTATTGTTCACAACTAAATTTTCTTTCGCGCCTACAGCTTGTCAGAAAGGTCAATAATTCGCAACCGTACATTGGCTAAATATTACGTTATACCTGTCATAATTGAAAACTTAATGTTTTTCCGATCTGCCCAACTTCGCGGCCGTCAAACTATTCAAAACTTTTCACGGATGAGTACTATCAATCCAGGTATTTTCCGCGGACGGGCACTATCCATCCGGGTATTTTCCGCGGGCGAGTTCTATGGGCTGATAGTGTCTCTCCACGGATGACTGGCTGGATTACTCATTCGCCTTTCGCTTTTCTGTATAGTTTTAGATATATTTAGATTTATCAAATTATTAGATTTTGAATATATTCAGATTTTAAGGTCTTCAAAGAAAGATACAAACATCATTCCCCATGTATAATTATTAATAGAATTGTTGTGAATATCATTTTTAGCATTTTGATAGATCAAATAATAATAATAATAATAATAATAATAATAANTGGCTTTTCGGTTTGTCACAGCAGCAATGAGAAGTTAGCTAATTAAGGGTGGTTTTCCCGGGGGGGGGGCTATATCTCCCAGGGAATTAAATATTTTGACCGATCATTTTCACACAGATGTTAAATCATGATGCTTAGCATTTGTGCCAGGTTTGAGCCAAATCGGCGATTCGAGCATTATCGCTCCCTGCCCGGTCTACTTGTAGACGCGTTCTTAATAGCGTCTTGCATGGCCTAGATAATAGACGAGTTTTCCACATTAAACTGCTGGTGCAATGCTTGAATGAGAATTTCCGTGGACCAAACGATACAGTCCCCAGGCAAGAACTTTCTCTGGTGATAAAAAATTCCTGAATCGTGCGTTTCGTCTCTTAATCTCGAACCCACGATATTGAACAGTATTTTTTCAAGTGTTTTGTTAACCCTAAATTGTTGTCGAAAGTACTACTGTGGAATATCGGCCAGGCGACAAGTAGTCCAAGTGACGTTTTCCCAGGACGCCATGAAAATTAAAAAAAAAAGGAATTATCAATCCTTTTGAGATTTTAATTTAGCCAATTATTAGAACAACTGAAAACTAATGTTTTTTTTTTCCAAATTTTTAATTTGATAGGATTTTTCTTTTTGTGATGAAACAAGGTTGAATTTTAAGCTTTTGCGTGACACGATATTAAAATGGCAGCCGGCAATGCTGTCACGTACTTTAAATAAGTGACTTATCAGCTAAGATTTCGCAATCTGAACAATCGCTGTATGAGAATAAGCTGTACTTATATCCATGTTTATGAACCCTCAGAAGACGACTACAGGCTTTTTTATAGAAAAATTCGATGATATATGTTTTTGTTAGCCTCTGGCCGCTATATATATACCCCTCGGAGGGACACAAACATAGCTTCTCCATACTAAATTCGAGTAAAACATTCGAATATTTCTCGCAGGAGACATTGCACAGATCTGAATCTTTTAGCCCTTTGATTCTGGAATTTACTCGTTGAATCGTTTTGATGATGATGTGAGATTGAAAATCAGCAACTATATGGCCCAACACGGTGAATTCTACTGAAAGGTCGTCTTCGTCCTAGAAAATCGATGTTCAGGATTTCTCTGCAGTCTTCACAGGCGTCCTAAGCTCACGTCTCGAGGAAAAGCGACAACCTCGTTCCCAGGGTCTCTCATCTTCCCGCCCTC